GATTTTCTATCGTGTCAACCTCTTTTGCCTCGATTTGAATAACGCAATGGCATTGCAGATTCGCTCGTGAATCTCAAATGTTCTAATACTAAGCGTTGTTACACTTCCAACTGGGCGTTGACCTTTGCTTAGCGGAATGAATGCACCTGCAATTGTCCCCTTCACGCATTCGCATACAAATCCAACGCGCTTTCCTTTCCACATAGTGTTAAAGTAAATCTACTATTTTAATCAATTTGGTCGGGCTAGATGTAAATTAATGGATCATCAATTCAACGAATTAAGCAACACCTTATGATCCTCCCGTTTCTGTTTAATCAGTTGCTTTTCTTATCACACTTTTTATAATCGCTCTTGCTGTATAAGATTTATGCTACTTTGATATAAAATTCAAACCACTTGGGTGTTCGCTTCCATGACGTACCCCCTAACAGTTGTGTCATGGTTTCAAATTACCTTTTTTTCAAAATAAACTATTAGATTACAAGCTCATATACTCTGGAAGTTGAAAATGCCCTTCAAATTTACTCTTGGTTTTATTATCTGTGGAATTGTTGCGTCCACTTGGGAAACCATCAAATGGCCGTCCATTCGCCGAGTATTGTCCTCGTTATACCATATCAACCCTCACTATCCACTTTTTTACAAGAATATTTCGTGAAGTATTCCTTTTTTCTCCTTTTAATTGTCACCATCTAAAATTTCATTGTGAATGTCTGAACAGTATATATTGTATGCTTGTCCTTACGTTTATTGGAGAAAATCAATTACCTAGTTCACTAGTCGTTTCCTTGTTTATTATTTTTTCCGTTAATGAAGTAAATTAATTTCTAACTAGCCTTTGAATAATAGGATAGACTTGACGATTAAGTGTAGCCAGCTATAGCAAATCTTACAGAAAGAATGTCCTAGGAATCTGGATACCAGACTTGGCTTCTCTTGAGATCGCTAAGGTCGTCCAATAAAGCAGGCGCCGATTTCCCTAAACACTGCAAGAAGAAAAAATCTTAAAATTATCCTCAAGCAGGGTCATTGCATGCAGAGGGTACATATGCAAAGACTTTCTCTAGGAAATTCCACAACAAAGCTTTCGACAAAAATGTCGCTCTTGCTCGTCAGTGAAGTAGCTACCCTGTTCCCTTGAACTAACAATCACGAATAAGTCATAGGTAGTAAGTATAAGTAAAGATGTCTGCTCTAACCAGCCTATCATCATCATCATCATCGAATAAATGAACGAAGTCAATTTCATTTTCGCAAGCTGTAAAATTCAGTCACTTGGTAGCTCTTTGTAATTTAATGTCGATGAATAATGTGGGGTGGGAAGTGTTTCATTTTTTGATGCTTCTAATATTGCAAAACTCGGGAGTAGTTGAACCCTTACCAATTAGTGTATTGCATGACAATCTAAGATGAGACGACATTTAAAGTGTGTTGGTAAGAACAAATTAACAATCTTCCTCGTGTTGTTTAATAAGCAAAAAATAAGACACGCTACCCAAATCCTCCTTCCAAATGTACGACATTATTAGATTGGAATAGTTCACGCCAACTTTGTAAATGAACGAACGGTTAGGGGCTAAATGTGATTGCACACGTTCCTTTCCCGGTAACTTTTGCATGACCTCTAATTTTTCTACTAACAGTTCATCTGTCCTCCGATTTATCTTTACTTTCACTTTAATCAAATATTTTCGATCAATTCACCCCGCCTTTTGTTTTAATAAGCTCGTTCAAATGTATCGATTTGCGGCACCAATTGTCCTTCATATGCTCTCTAATCTGTTAATCATACCTACTCTAGTCATTTCTGCATACGTTTTCTCTCCCTCTTATGCGCGTTTATATTGTACACATGTCTGAGGTGCAGAATCATTTCGTCAATCATTGGTTCGTCGTTCATCATGCTGAACATGGAAACAATACCATTGAAATTCCCGTTGGTTATCATTGAAAAACGGGTTCTCGTTTCCAGTTATGCTTTAGATTTAATGATCATTAAGTACTCCTTCTACCTTAAAGAACCTTTGAGGTCTTGGGAACGTTCTGGTGTCAAGAATTTCATTAATGTTCCTATTTTTATCTCCCTCTGAAGTTGAATCAATTCTAATTTGAATTAGCTCATTTGCTAAAGTTCCCACCCACATAATTAATTTATCGTACATATTTTTGATAGGCTGATGGAGAAAGTTCTTAATAATGTATTTTCAAGATAAACATGATTCAACAGATCATTATTATCAAGGACATTGGAATTGCCAATCAATGCCAAACATCCAGACGTTATTAGGGCAGAAAAAAATAGTTCAGACCTTAAAAGCATTAGCGAATGAAATTGGTTTAAGAGAGAGTCGGGAATTCAGAAGAGCCCTACTTCATCTGATCTCTAGTTATATTTAATCGTAAATATTTTTGCATCGCCCTGTTGAAGCTTATTTTAATTAGTGATTTCCCTATCTAAAGTTCGAATGATGGGCTTTCCTAGTTATCCTCTTCCCAAGCATGTCTTAAAATGTCCTTTTATTTGACAAGGTCGACCATCAGTGGGCTCGTAATGCTCATTCCTCCAGTGCCTTCTTGACTCATTTTCATTTATAAAGAACCGATGGCACTAGGGATCCGCCCTCATAGGTGATTTCCATTTCACACACCTTCCAGTTGTGTTTTTGTTTTGGTCTTGATAATGTGAAGGGCAGATTTCTATGCTGCATTCATAGCCCGATGTGGGTGTGAATACTGCATGTATAATTCACATTACTGTAATTCAAACTGATCATCTTCCCTTTCCTCCCTCCCAAACCTGAAAGTATGCGGATGTGAATTAAGGCCAATAATTTCCATTGACCGCTTTAAAGTGCATCTTCCAGTCACCCTTCATTTAAAGCAAATATCCGCTTTCTCTCTCTCCCTCTCCTGAGGTGCAGTCCTTTCCTCTTATAATTACAGTGATCTTCTTACAGGGTATAATGGTCATTCGACACATTCCGTCTCTTGGTTTGCTTAAGCTGGAAGTTAGTTCAACCAATCGTTCCTCATAAGAGGGAGTGTAAAGCAGTCTCACTCTTGAGATGTGTAATGGGGCGTTCATCTGTTGTACACAGTTTATATCGTTAATTTCTTCACCTATTTGGTGTGTAATTCACCTTTGTTCTTTGTATTGTACTGTACTATTGCCTGTTTTGCTATAATGTAAGCGTAGCCTTGGTGTGAGCTTCTTTGCCCCAATAAGGTATTATCTCATTAGTCCCCCAGTACTGGTGTCTCTTGAGACATTTTACACATGGGGGGTGGGAGAGACTTGGGACTTCTTCCTTCCATCATTCGGCATTGCTCTATTTTCCCTAATTTGATCCTCTTTTGATTTCTGGGTATATTTCATTCGCTATTGATAGTCACATGTGAAATTGGAAAGATGCCTGCAATCTTTTCCCTGGTTAATCCTTTTTTTTGACTGTTCATTCAAGAGTTTGAATTTTAATTTTAAGGCGAACATTCGCCCTTTTTGTCATAAAGCTTTTTTATTGTATATTCTTTAGTTTAACTTCAGTCTTCCTAGGTCGGTGGGGTATTGTTGAAAGTTTCCTCGGAGGTGTTTGGTTGTAATCTAATTATTTTTTACTCCCTTTTATCATAATCGGTGAAGGGTAGTATTTAATGTTTCCTGAATTTAACTCTTTTCTATTTAATCGAATTTTCATTTGACCGTTAAATTACCTTCACCTCGAATGGATTTTAATTCCACAATTCAAAATAATTTATGAAGAAAAATTATCTGGGGTGGTGGTGGGGGGTGGGGGCGAGGTTGCTAATATCTCAAACTGCACGGTCACTTGTGGGAGTTTAAGATAATAAAAAGGCCATGCTAGGTGTATTAGTTCTCTCGGGACTATCATTTTAACTGACTCGCGGAGTTTAATTTATCCCCAACAGCAAAATGTAAGAATTCATTTCTCTCTCTCTCTCTCTCCCCTTGAATCGCCTGTTCATGTTGTTGGCAGAAATGAGCTTAAGGTAGCATAAGGCAGTAATTGAAGACCTAGTCGGGGAAGTTCACCTACCTCACTCTACTATACCACAGAGGTGTATAGTAAGTTAAAATAATGAGGGCATTTATTCTTCAAGATGGATGCGATAATTGTGCTGCACATAATTTTTTGAGAAGGATTTTGAACTAGTTAATCAAGTCAGAGCAGAATGCATTTGAATTCTGGATACAGTAGGTTTTCCTTCTCTCCAGCATGAGCGTAATTCACTACGTCGTTGTCTGACGTTCTAAAGTTGAAATTTCTGTATTTGTATTGCTGTGTTTTAATGTCGGAACTTACTCTGATTTGCCAAAGACGAACTTTGACACTAAAGCCGCATCTGTTTTCGATCTCACCAAAGGAATAATTTTTTGTTTGATCACTTTTGTAAAAATACTTACAGTAACATGGACATCCTCTTTTCCTCAATTTGAATGAATGTGGGGAAAACTCCGAATGAGAGTACTAAAATAAAACAGTTGATATTTACTTCGGATTGATTTATTTTCCAATTGTTTACATCTTCTGTCTCAATATTTCCGTATTTGTTTGTTTTCACTTTTTCCTTTCTGACAAACAAAATTTTTTACCTTATAGAAGAGAGAGAGAGTGATAGAACGGGAGGGCTACAGGTGTCGAAAGTAGATCGGGTGCCGAAGATTGAAACGATCTGGCTAATTGAGTCAGAGATAATAGGGAGCCGAAACCTAGGAAACTGACTCGGGAGACGATCACACTTGTGTGTAAACAGTTTAAGAGGTATGAGCAAAATGAGTTTATACGGAATTGTGAATGGAAACGACTGTTCAAAATTGTTTGAAAGGTGTGTCGATGCAAGAATTGGGGATAGGATAGTGGTTCCGCCTTAGCAACATTTATTCAAGAACTTGTCTTGAATATCATATTTGGAAAATAACTTTTAATTTTAAATGGGTACTCTTTCGTCATCTAATTGCGTTCCATTTTTCGTTTCAGGGTCTCCGTCAACAGAATCTGTCTAACTTAGCCACAACATATTTCATCACTCACTTTGACGTTGTTTTTTCTCCGTCTCCTCCACCCCACTCGACATCCATTGGCAGTCAACTCCATCAGCACATTCAATTCGGCCTACTCAAATCCGCCACGAGTCTTAACAGTCTTCTTCAACGTCGACGACGAAGTGGTGTTGTTCCACGACGCTCCATGGTAACCGCCACATCTACAGAGGAAGCTATGGCTGTCACGAGTCTGTCAGTCAGTGGGCATGTCGGTTGCGGTTCGAGGTCCCGTCCTATTAGTCCTGGGGGTGATACTGCATCCCCTCTTCTTTCACCAGAAGCTGTCGACAGCTCCTGTTTGGTAGCTCATTCTTCTAGCAGTTTGTCGCTTTCACCCTCGAGAAAATGGCAATATTCCGATACTGAAGAAAATGATCTCGGGCATGTTTCATTCAATATATTATTTTACAGTTTATCAATTTTTCATTTAAACCTCACGGTTATTCATTATTAATTTTTTGCTTTGAATCATTTCAAGCTGAATACCGACACCACTGTTGACTTAGATCCAGTTGTTGAGGATATGGGTGCTGTTTCCTCCAAGACTGAACAGTAGCTATTTGTTGTGATACAGAACTAAATAGAAATGAATAGAGAATTTCAATCTCCCCCAACAAGATCAGCAATTTGTTACCATTCCTCCACTTTAGATTGTCAATATGTCAAGCGTAGACTACACCATATGCGCCTCTGTCATGGATTGAGCTGGCAGACGGTATTGTGGGTTGAATAAAGAGAATAGAACGCCAAGAATGTGATCCTTGGTGGAATTATTTTAATTCAGAACTGAGTCTGCACTGCAGTCGACATTGAGGAACATGCATATATTTTAAAATCCCATCAATTTTCAATGCCCTACATCTTTGCAGCTTTTTGAGAAAAAAGTCCCGTTTTTTTCAATTTCCCTTCTCGCGCTGGCTCTCTTTCAATTTATAGTCTATCCAATTTTCAGTTAAATTGGCAATCTGTTTCATTGTCCAGGTAGCTAACTGCTTTGAATCTCAGGGCTAAATTACCTTTTATTGTTTGTAAGTATTTTTTAAAAATATTCCGAAAGGTGGTAGGTTATGTGAAGGGTAAGCAATTGGGGTTGATGCAATCTAAAATATTGTTAATCAGATGCGATATCTCCCCACCACATCCGCATGAAAGATTAATTAAGATGAGTAGAGGAAGCTTGACACGTGATACTCCCCCAGAATTTCTATTCTGGAAGATTATTTATTTATTGTGTTTGCTCAAATTCAAAAGGTTGGGATTGGTTCCCTCATATAATCGCTAATAGTAAATTGTTTTCGTATTCGACTTTCTTGAATCAACACTTATTATTTACTGTAGCGCACTTTTCATTGAGATATTGTTAACACTTCCAACTAGTTAATTGTCTTATCCACATCAGCAATCGGTGAAATAAAGGCCCAGGGTACCTAGAGCCAGTTTCAGAATAGCCTAAATACGGATTTCAAGTGCTATCATAATCTTTGGTCTATTCTTTTTGAACCAGACAGAAACAGAGCTGACATTGGTGATTCCAACCGAGTTTATTTTTAATTAGGGAGTGGCCATTCAGTACTAATGACAACTACTTTATTCAGTCAGAAGTTCAACAGAAACTCATCTTGGATTAAGTTTGCTGTATTGGTGATTATTTAGATAAGGTTGTTGCTTTTAAAAAAGTTGGCGTAAATTACAATGCGAGCTCATGTGTTCCATTTGTGCTTACTAAGATCAGATTAACTTTGAAAGCAATTTAGGTTAATATTTCCCCATAATCATTTTGGGCAGAGTGGTGGTTTCACATAACCTCCCTCTTGAGAAACACAAATTCTTTCACCACCTTTATTAGCCTGACTAAGCCAGTACCTTTGAGTATGCCTTGACGGAAATCGGACACATAGTCTCTGACTTCCCAGACGAGCAAGTAAACCACTTTAGATTTTGTAGAAATATTGATTCCATCAAATGGGAGGGGGGAGCATTTGAGTCAGCGATAAGACCTCTGTGTGTCATTGTATATTCGCTTAACTAATTGGTATATTCATAGTGCTGTTGGTATTTTTAATGAATGGAGTGGGTCACAGGGTCTCTTTATTTTGTTTTCTCCCTCATGTGATCCTCTATCGCATCGAGATAAGACTCGTCGCGATTGTTTATTCTTTGGACTTTAAGCGTTGTTAAAAAAAGTCATTTGAGAGCTCTCAACAGCCTTGTCCACAATCGCTTCAATCAATGCCAATGCCATCTTAGACTCCTTACCTGAATACTCTGAGTCATTATCTACTCTCCTCGTGTAGATATAGCAAAATATGTTCAGACTCAGTCGCACTGTAGCATGCTTTCAGTCCTGTGACTTGCCAATATTTGATGCCACCTCCCAAAACACTAAAATTCGTCAATCTAGTAAACCACACAATTCTTATTGAATTGTCAGTCAAAATACATGTGGAGACTCCAGGCCTCCTATATAAAGTTAGATAGGTCAGTTAAATCATAGTTCTTAGTTCATAAGAATATTTTGAGGAAATAGATTACTTGAATGGTCTTCGTGCACATTGTAAACTTCCGCTCACAGGGTCAAAGGGCGCATTAGGCAGTAATAATTCCTACCCCCCCCCCCCCCCCACCTTTGATGTCTAGGCCGTTTTTTAAAGCGAACACTACACGCTTGCGCCATTTCAATGAGTGAAACAGCCCCAAACTGTGGGCTTCTTTTTTTGGAACTACGCCCGAACTTGCGATCATGTGAGATGAATTGTAAAATTTTCCACGAAATGTGTCAGTTCTAGCAGTGACCGCTGGGCCCATTTGCTCCTGCCCCTTTCTCTCTAAGCGGAATTGTCATTAGTTGAAGAGAAAGAATAAGTTGTCTGCCGATATAGACAGCAAAAGGAATGTGAAACAGAGTTAATTGAGATAAAGAAACATTATCTGGACCAGGGTAGGGGGTAGCCCTGAATCGGAAATCCTAATTATTATAATGATGCTAATTGGTTGTCATCATCGCCATATTATAGATAGATCAGGGAGATTCCCAAGAGAACTCGTCTTGCTTAGATCTCCTGCTAGTATATTGGGCCAATTAGATGTGCAAACGAGATTAACTTAATAAGGGGGAGTTGGGGGGGGGGGGGGAATTGACATAACGTAAAGAGAGGTTATTATGTTGTCAAACGCTGAAATCCTGTGAGCTTAAATCACTCGATGGTCTCCACAGTTCTGTATTAATTAATTGGATTATCACTGGTAATAGGAGTAATAAATAATTTGAATAGATTTGATAATGGAAATGTTTTGTTTTGAGAAAACTTGGGAATCACCGGTTAGTGTTTATATCTGAACCAATTTGGGGCTCTGTCTTCGCTTATCAATTACACTTATCAGAATTGGTGAGTCAGCTTCAATTAGAGGAATTTTACATTTGTCTAATTCCAGAACTACGTTTTATGTCGTCTTACTAAGTATACGCAGTTCTAATATCTTCATTATACCTAGAAAACTTCTATAGCAGTGTAGGAACCAGATTTGGTAATAGGGAAACAACTGTCCGCGGTATCTCGAGGTGAAAAGCTGGTTAAAATGAAATATTATCCTTGAGAATCAACTTGTCAATGACCTTGACCACTATCTTTGAATGTCAATTTTCGATCGATTTTCTATTCTTGACATCGAAAGGCCTTTTTTATTGAAGATCACTCATGCTCTGGTCAGTATAAACATTTGTGTCTGTTGTGCCGGTTCTACGCTCTTATTCAGATACATTTATCTTAAATTAGGTGATAAATAATGCTACTCCGTTGTCTAGATTTCATCTGAGGTCCAATCCAGAGCGTGTTAGCAAGGGGAAACCACTGCCATTTTTGTGTGGTTTGTTTATAGCTTGTGTTCTGTGGTCTAATCTCATTCTGGGAGGTGGTTGGGGTGGGGCGGGCCTTAAATTATTTGAAATTTTATAACCGCAAGTCACATTTGACATTCATTATTCGTCACAAATTGAGTTGCATTATGCTGAAATTTGGGTAATGG